TTTCCCTCCCCCCCTTCCCTTCCCTCCCCTCCCCTCCCCTTTCCTTCCCATTCTGTACCAGGGATTGAATCCAGAGAGATATGCATACTAGGCAAACAATGTATCACTTAGCTACACTCTCAGCCCTTTTCTCATTTTTATTTTTTATTTTGAGGCAGGATTTCCCTAAGTCACCTAGACTGGCCTCGGACTCAGAATCCTCCTGCCTCAGCCACCCAAATATCTAGGTTGCACCTATCTAGGTTTTAATATCAAACTCCTACACAGAAACACAGGAAAGTTAATAATTCTAGTTTTTATAACTGGCTTTGGGCAAAATGTTTAGGTTTCTAGAATTCGCTTTGGGGAAGAGTAATTCTGGTTTCTGTTCTGCTTTAAAGGAAAATGATGAGCAAGAGAAAGGTCAGGAGAAGTTCAAGAACTGCTACAGAGCCCTTCATTTTGGCTATTGTTTGCTGAGTCCCAAAAGCTACAATGTTCTTTTATTTACTCTTTATTTGGCAAATTCCTTCATACTCCTCAGCCCGTTAATTTTTCAGAGTGCTTCTGTGACTCTTCTCTTTGAAGTTATATCCCTCTAATTGTCCTGTAATGAACACTTTTTTCATGGCATTTATCACAATTTATATTTACACATTTGTTTGTTTAGTGCCATATTCTGTTGTCAAATAGAATTTCCACTAGCATGAGAACCACATTTTGTTTATTCCCATGTATCTAGCACCTAGCACAGGGACTGACAGAAGAGGCTCTTATTGAGTAAATAAATGAGTAGCTTCCTGTGCGTGGAGGTGAGCTGTGAGGTGGGATTTCTTCCTCCTCCAACACCATTGCTGATAAAATACTAAGGCATAATCATTGAAAAAGTGAGATTCATGGCCCAAATTCTGTGCTCCTTTAGCTATTAAAATGCACCTTTAGGCCGGTTATGGTGGCGCATGCCTGTAATCCCAGCACTCTGGAGGCTGAGGCAGGAGGATCACTGTGAGTTCAAGACCAGCCTGAGCTACATAGTGATTTCCAGGTCAGTCTCAACTACACAGTGAGACCCTGCCTCAAAAAACAAAAAACAAACAAACAAACAAAAAAGGCACCTTTAAAGGGTGAAAGATAAACCTGGTTCAAAGAAAGGGGGATTTAGAACTATTTCTATCTGATGAGGCATGGCATTTCAACTTGGGAAAGAGTAAGAAAAGGCACAGATGTGGCACTAGAATGTTAATATTACCAATAATACACTGACATTTATTCACCTTACATTGTACTGTCTTTATATTATCTTGAGACTGCAATTTAAGAGAGACAGAAGCAGTGATAAAAGGTGCAGGCTTTGGGTTCAAATCACAGCCAAAAAACCTTGGGCAAATTATGAGAAAGTAACTTTTTTTTTTTTTGACACCAGAGATTGAACTCAGGACCTTGCACTTGCCAGGCAGGCAGTGTGCCACTGAGTTAAATCCCTGGCCTAGTGGACAAATTATGAAATATCTCTATGTCTCTGTGTGTTCATTCTCTAGTTTTTTCCTCACTTGATAGGAAAATATGTATAGAAAGAACAAAGTCCTTTCTCCCTTGTGTTTGCAACATGACTTCTGTCTTCCCGATCCAGACCCATCATAACGGGTTTTTAGTTTTTTTTCTTTGGAAACTTGTGCTTGCAAAGCAGGCAGCGGAACCACTGAGCTAAATCCCGAGCCCAATAAAGGGTTTTTAAATGAGTTCAAGTATCTGGGGGCCGAGGAAAGAGAAATCACGACCACAAGGTGGCAGTAGCAAGGCAGTGTGGATCACGGAGGGTGGCACTGGACCGGTTTCACGCAAAGAGGAAGTCTCACAGGAGAAGGCCTTTCCGACTCAGAGATGTGGAAACACAGCCCAACAAAGGAAGGAGGAGGAGGAACTCCCTGGGAAGAGGGGAAGCACGGAGGAGAGTTCCTTGTCAAGGTGATGCTGCACAACAGAAAGATGAGAATTTGGAAGGGCCGCAGAGTGGCCCTGGTATTTGTCTTTTCTTTGTCTCGCAAATGTTAGATGCAGCTTCCTGGGGTGTGGAGAGCAGACAGGCTCTAGACAGCTAAACAAATGGTCATCTGGGTAAAACTATTGGATGTGTAAAAATTTGAGTGTGGAGCCAGGCGTGGTGGTACATGCCTGTAAACCCAGCAGTCAGGCAGTGGAGGCAGGGGGACAGTGAGTTTGAGGCCAGCCTGGGCTACTTAGATCCCTACTCTAAAGAAATAAATAGAATTAGTTTACCAATTAAGCCTATAAATAACATTTCTGTAAATTTAAAAAATCTGGTTTTTGATAGAGATACCAAAGCTTTCCGGCCATCACATATGTTCAGATTCTCAATATATCTATATCTTTCTGATAGTCAACTTGGCTGAGTGTCCATATATAAAATAAATTGATTAAATCGAGAGAGTTATGGGGTTCTTTCTAGTTCTAAAACCCTAATGAAAATTTTTATGAAAAAAAATCTAAAGACTTAACAAGAATTATCTAGTTTTTGCTTTTGTTTTTTTCTGGTACCGGGGATTGAACTGTGGGCAGGCGGCGGCACCATGGAGCTAAATCCCTGGCCTTTATAGTATTTTATTTTAATGGATGGGTAATGCTTCGGGTGCTATGATTAAAAGTTGGGGAGGAAAAATCTGATGTGACCCAAATTTGCAAGTTCTTATGTATAGGAATCTTTGTTTTTTTGTTTTGTTTTGTTTTGTTTTGTTTTTTGAGATAGGGTCTCACTATGTAGTTGAGACTGACCTGGAACTCACTATATAGCCCAGGCTGGTCTCAAACTCACAGCAATCCTCCTGCCTCAGCCTCCAGAGTGCTGGGATTACAGGCATGCACCACCGCGCCTGGCCTTAGGAATCTGTTTATTTGAATTTGTTTTGTATAAAACATGTTAAATATTCAGGAAAGTATACCTTTGGTATGGGTACATACTGGCAGAGCCTCCTGGACTAACCTCCTGCCTGCCTCCAGAGTGCTGGGATTACAGGCATGCACCACCGCGCCTGGCCTTAGGAATCTGTTTATTTGAATTTGTTTTGTATAAAACATGTTAAATATTCAGGAAAGTATACCTTTGGTATGGGTACATACTGGCAGAGCCTCCTGGACTAAACTTTAGGCAAGCTCCTCTGAGCTTTCTTCCTGAGTGTTGACCTTCTCCCTCTCTGCACTCAGACCCCATTAATCTGTCTGCCTTGCCTAAATTAGTTCAGTAAGAATCTCTCCTCCTTGATGTCTGACCTTTGATATCTGATCGAGTTTCTCTTTCTCTGCTTTTGATGTATATCATTTCATTCTGTCTTTAGCAAGAATCCTTCTACCCTCCATGTCTCTCCTCTTGGTACCTTTTTATCCACTGATCCTTCTCACTGTGCATTAGTTATAAATCCCCAGTTATCTTTGCTGTTTCAGAGTTGAGCCCAATGTCTCTCCCCATTGCAATGTTCTTATTGTAATAGTCATGAATAAAATCTTTCCAACCATTTTAATGAATGTCAGAATATTTTTTCTTTAGTAATACCATGTAACCAATCCTAATATTCTTTTATCTTCACTTAATTTTTATTTATTTATTTAATTTTTGCGGGGGGCACTGGCGGTCGAACTCAGGACCTTGAGCTTGCAAGGCAGGCGGCAGAACCACTGAGCTAAATCCCCAGCACAAATTTTTATTTTTTTGAAAAACTAATATCTTTATTGTGGCACAGAGTAGTATTTTATACATTAACTCATAGTAAAAACATTTTATGTACAACTGTAGAGAAACCACTGCACAGATAGATCCAACAAAAAATACAGTTGTAACTCAAATCATTCAGTTTGACATATAAATTGAAAAATATTTTCTCTGTAGAAAATAGTAAAAATGACAGTGTTTTCAAGTTAGCCCCATAAACCCATTTTAACGCAAACAGAAGCAGAATTAGATTTATATATTTGAGTTCTGGTATCCAGAAAAAATATTGGCTTCATTTACTGAAATCCATGTTTTTCTTGTTTTTGTTTTTAGGTACCGGGATTCAAACTCAGGACCTTGTGCTTGCAAGGCTAATTTAAAAAATAAATAAAACATCACCTACATAGTTGATGCGTAGGAAAAAAATCTTCAGTCTCATAACAGGACAATAAAATTAGAGCTATACTGAAAACTAGTATCTTCTCATGGATTGGAAACAATCCAGAAGTTGACAACATACTCTGCCTGGTGAGGAGGGCACACAAGCCATTCAAATACATCCTTAGCTGCCTTGCAAAATACCAACATTCCATGATGGGTGCTTGGCTATATCCAGCAAAATTATGCATGATTTTACATTTAAACTAACAATTCAATTTCTGGAAATAAATCCAAAACACGACATATACCCATGACTATTGTAACACAATTTATAACAGCAAAAGAACTGGACACCTTTCAGATACTTCTGAATAGGAAAGTAGGTGAAAATACTGTGATACTAGTTTTATATCAGATCAGAGGGAGTCTTCGGTATGACCCTAGTAATCTCTTTTTTTTTTTATAGGGTGGAGAGGTAGAAGGCTCTGTAGACCTTGGTAGGGTAGGGTGAATTACTTTCCTCTTTATTACAGGCTGGCTCTGTAGTGATCTGGGCAGTACCAGTTCCTGCAGATCCTTTCTCTTGTTGGATCTATGCTTCAAGCCGGCCACGCATCTCTGCTGCGGATGCAGCTCCGCTCGTGCAGACTTCCGGTGGGTCAGCCTGCTGTGCTGTAAGGCAGTGTGGTCCTTCGCGTTATTGGGCTTAGTCCTCTATGACTGCTTTCTTCTGTTCATCGGGAAACAGCAGTTCTGCAGTACCATCCATTCCAGATGCTCGATGCGCCAGTGGTGAACCCAAAATGAAGGCTTTGATTGCATTTTTGAACCAGATTGTGCAAGTTGACTATTTTACAGTACTTCTGCACAGTGGAGTAGTAAGCACAGATGAGAAATACCTTTCTATCTACACTAGTATTGAGGGATCTTCAGAGATGAATATTAAGTGAAAAAGGTAGAGCGAACAGAAAAATATATTCAATTTTATTTTTGAAATGAAAAAATAAATCATAAAAAACGTTGAAGTCATTACCTAGGGGACAGGAAGGACGTTAAGGGGAGATGAGGATTTCAGAACAAAGGAAAGAGCTATACAATCAAAAGGGTTTAGGGATGGAGGTGTAGCTCAGCGGTGAAGCACATACTTAGCACTTAAGCTCACTTCCCAGCACCAAAAAAAGGAAGGAGTTGGGTGTGTTTAAATAAAACCTGGAATCCTTAAATTTAAATTGAAAGTTTTAGTATAAATACATGATGTATTTTTAAAAAAAGAGACAAAGCAAACCAAACCAAATCATTTTACCTGGCATTGTCCACCAAACAAGTAAATTATTTATACCACCACAGACCTTCAGATTGTGGTCTTTAAATATTGTTTCCCATTAAAGGAAACTGCACCATGATAAATGGGATATGATATAAATTTTGTACTTCCCCAAAAGTCAGTGATATTCTTTTATAGTACAAAATGGACATGTTTGGGACACATACTGAATAGGAAGTGTCTGCAAAAGAAAAAACTGAAAAAGGGAGAAATGTTAGCATATCAGAGAGGAAAAGTCTGTGCTATGATATGGAAAGACAAATCTTATTGTCAACTGTTCATAATACAGAAATGATAGAAATTGAAAGAAAAAATGTAACAAAAAATTCCATTATCAATTAGTTACTTCTTCCTCACTGATATGTAATACAGATGTCATATAGCAAATTCTTATAAAGTTGTCTTTTAAAATTTTTTCCTTTAATAATATGACTCATTTGCTGCAGCTTTATTATATAACATCTTGTAGGCCATTTTCTCAATCCTAGTTCTTCACAATTTTGTAAAAAAAAATATATATGTGTGTGTGTGTGTGTGTGTGTGTGTGTGTGTGTGTGTGTGTATTTTGTACTGGGGATCGAACCACTGAGCTAAATCCCGGGCCCCATAAATATACTTTTTCTGTATAAATAGGAAAGATATAGCCAGTTGTGGTGGTTAATACCTATAATCCCAGCACTCTGGGAGGCTGAAGCAGGAGGATTACAATTTTGTGGCCAGCCTGGGTAAATTCGTGAGACCTTGTCTCAAATAAATAAATAAATAAAATAAAAATGGGCAAAAGATATAGCTTAGTGGTAGTGCATTCTCCTAGCATGTGGGAAGCCCGGGGTTCAAACCCCCAGTACTGCACAAAAAGGAGGA